CATTGAGCTGCTGGAGTCCAGAGGAGGGCCATGAAGCCGATCTGAGGGATGGAGCACCTCTCCTATGAGGACAGGCTGAAAGAGTTGGGATTGTTCAGCCTGGAGAAAAGAAGGGTGCAGGGAGATCTGATTGTGGCTTACCAGTACCTGAAGGGGCTACAGGAAAGATGGTGAGGGACTGTTTGTCAGGGAGTGTAGTGACAGGACAAGGGGTAATGGGTTTAAGCTGAAGGAGGGTCGATTTAGATTAGATGTTAGAAATTCTTTACTGTTAGAGTGGTGAGGTACTGGAACAGGTTGCCCAGAGAGGTTGTGGAGGCCCCATCCCTGCAAGTGTTACAGGCCAGGTTGGATGAGGCTTTGGGCAACGTAGTCTAGTGGAGGGTGTCCCTGCCCATAGCAGGGGGGTTGGAAGTAGATGATCTTTAAGGACCCTAGCAACCCAAACCATTCTATGATTCTAGGTGTAACTCTGCTCCACAAGTAAGGCTTCATTTTTGCATGAACTTGAGAACTGTAGCTTTCAACAGCTATGGTGTTTCCTTTGGTTTTAAGCCTCCCAACCCCTGCCCAAAGGGTTAATGGATTTTTTTATTCCGAAATAATTTTTTAATAACTTGCATAAACTCAACAGAACAGTTACTTAGAGGCCCCTAAAACTCAAATTCCTAACCAAAACATGTCATAAAAATAGGACAGAGGTTTCCAAATGCATCTGTCTCCTAATGAAGAGATTGCAGCATGAATTCAATTACAGTATTAAAATACTAGACAAAAAAAATCTTCACAAAAGCACCATTACACCTGCACCAACAGAAAAAATAATCAAGTCAAATCAGCATCTCATAAATGAAATACTGAATGCTTAATGAAGTCATGGGAAAATAAGTTTTATAAATTTTGAGTAACTACTTGTTTTGCTCCACATAAGAACCTAGTTTTTCAGTTGCAAAAAATGGAAGAACAGAACATGACCCTTTGTTAAGTTGTAACATGGTGTCTAATCAGTTGGTCAGCAGAACCCACGCGACTTAGAAAAGGGTAAATTTTTCATCTGTTTGATCATATTCGCTGAAATAAAATTGATACTGGAGACAGGTATGCAGGAATATAGCCTTTTCCAGATGATACAGTATTAACTGAAGATGTCATAAGCTGTCAGTCTGCAGCCACTTCTGATTTGCTTCTAAGTGCTTTAATCTGTTTTGCTAAAAAAAGCCAGGTTACCATGAGTTTATCAGAAACTCCTTGCTAACAAATTACAGGTTTATAAGACCACCTGAGCATCAGATTGGATGGAGACACAAGTAGCTAAAGAAAGCCATCCCTTCATGAGCTCAGGTGAAGTCTTGTTCCTTAATTCTGCTACTTCAAAAACTAAAAAGGACTCAAAATTTTTTAAGCACCAGAACTCAATTTTTGGCACTATACAAGCCAAACACCAAAGCCCCACAAGTTATCTTAACAAGCCAATGAGGATCAATTAATTGCTGTTTCACCTATTGAAGAGCTAGCAATTCAGAAGTTTAAGTATTTGCAATCCAGTAGCAGAGAACTGTAACAACTCCAGTTTCAGACGTTATAACAGCCTTTTTCTATTGATTAGAGAGAGAAGAAACCACTCCTAACCCTCCCACACCAGTTTATTCTTTCACTTTGAATCCTCTGCCAAACCTCTAGACCTTCTACCTACTCAGGTGAGAAATATTTGATTCATATTCTGCTTTGCAGTCATTCTGTGTAGCAACATCATTCTTCTTAAAGGAGTTTTTTAATACACAGTAACAAAAGAAGATGATAAAAGTAACTTTCACATATTCAATACTATTTGACCTAGCATATGTTACCAAACTCCACTCACAAACACAACAAAACTTAAGACAGTCACCTAATTAGCTGTGCCTTGCCTTTGTTTTCTTTAGGTACAATCTCCAAGTATATCTACCACAGAAGTGTGGCCTTATTCTTTGTGTGACTTGACTTCTCTGCAAAATCACCCCCTACAGACAACAAACCACCAGATAGCTTCCTCAACCTACAGCAGCATTTAAATCTCAGAAAAGAAATACAAGTTTCTAAAGCAGGCAGCCAAACATGCCACATTAAATGTGCTCTCCGTTTTGACGTTTAAAAGCCTCCCTGGTTCACGTTCTGCTGTAACATCTGCATCAGTCTGTTCTACAGGAGTGGCTTTCAGATAAAAGAGACAGACTTGCAGAGGCAGAGTCTTTTTTGGCAATTCTGGGCAAAGTATCAAATCAATCCTGTAAGGTGGCTAGCAAGTGGAAGCAGCATCTTTACAGCTTAGTAGCTTTGGCATTCTCTCAACTACCCAAAGCATTTATCCATTTTTCCACTCAATATCAAACAGTTGGGGAAAGAAGTATGCAACATAGATAACCATTCCAACAGAGTCAAGAGCCAGAGCTCAGTGATCTGATCACCTAATTGCATTTAAAAATTAAATATATGCCCTTACACCATATATTTTCCTTTCCAGTAGTTACTTCCATCTTTATAGAACTGCATTCTGTTACTATTAAACTAGCATCTAATAAAGGGTCATCCTCCAGTTTAAGCTTTCCGATGCACGGAGTGGAAAATGTCTTCACATCAATATTGCTTCCAGATGGGTATAATTTTCAAGACATTTGTGTATCTGACTTCACTATATAAAATTAAGCTTTCACCTAGTCGAGGACTAAACTGACCTCCAGGGCTTCATGTTTTCATAAGTCAAGACATCAGTGGTAACACTCATCTGAAGTTTTCTCCCTTATAGTGCAACATGCCATAACAGTAAGGGCCTTTATATTAGTAAAATCTGTTTTCATTTCAATGTATTAGCAACTTAAAGACCCAAGTCTGTAACCTGAAATCACTTGAAATGTAAAAATATTTCAAGTAATATTTTTACATTTATGTAATCATAATCTCATGTGGCAAAAGAATTCTGATGTTGTGATAGAAGTTAAGTAAAGGTACTGGTGCATGCAAACTGTGAAGCGAAGTGGTCAAAAGATTTTCAGAACCATTCGCTATTCACTAGTTTGCATCCTGTATTTACTCTCTTACTTGTTACTTTTAGTTATAACAGTTTAATCTGTTCTACTCAATCCCCTTTATAATGCAGATTCTCTGATTAAAGTCGAAGAATTTAGGGTTTTACTATTTCATTCAAAAAAAAAAAAGGGGGATGTTTAGATGATTTGATAAGTGGCTAATAACCAAAACGCAGCAGATGTCCCATGCTTTAGATATACGACAAATAATCTTTACACTTTGTCCTTGAGGAAATTTGCCAGAATGGTAGTAAGTTTACAATGAAGTAAGCTACTTACAGTCTGGTCCTTCCAAATTGAGATATGGTATGTCCATTACTCTCATAAGAAATAGCCTGAAGCAAAACGGAAAAGCACCTTTAGCAAATTTCTGCATAAAGACCTTTTACAAAGCTTTCTTTTTATAGTTTTTTAGATATTGCTTCTGAAGAAGCAGAATTAATCATCCCAACCATATCTTAAGCTATATTAAAACAAAGAGACCCTCTAATTAAATGCAATCCATTATCTAGTAATCCAGATTCAAAAAGTTACTTGGTACCATGCTAGTAATTTTACTTATTCAACATAACAAGAACAAAAAAGCCCCAAACTGTTACTGCTAGAAAAAATTAAAACAAGTGGGGAAATGTTTAGAAAAACATTCAGAAAGCAGCAGCTCTGTGCAGTAAGAGCCAATTACACAGCTGGGCAGAAAAGAACTTGCAGGTCTAGGATCTGTGTTCTGCTAGTAAGCTAGACTTCACTTTAGCCTGTGGAAAGATGCTCAGTTCCATTTATTACCTATGATATGTTATGATATATTCATCTGAAATAATGTCAATGCCACTGTTAATAGGAGCAAAAGCCTTCTTCAGACTCCAGTGCAGGGGATAACATAAAACCTAAATATACAGTATTTCAGCTAGTCAGTAAAAGTCATTTAGTCTTCACCGAATGAAAGTTGTCCATCATCCATGCAGGACAGCAGAAGTTTTTTGGTTTGGGGGTTGTTTGTTTTTTTGGTTTTGTTTTTTTTTTTTTTAAAGACAGATTTGGTTTAAGTTGAGCTATCTGAAGAAAAAGCTTTCACAGAATTCTTGGAACCAGCTAATTTTTAAAGTACGCAAATAACTAGTTTCATAGGTAGTGGTTTTCATAAAAATAAAGATAGTTTACTAAAAATACAACAAAAACTTCTGGGGAAAACACTAGTTAAGCTGCCCTCCTGTAGGTTTTATCATGTTGAGGAAAGCAATACAGTGGCCAACAGCACGAACAGACTTATGCCAAAAAATGTATATACCTGAGATTACTTAAAATCAGTTTTTTATCCTCCGAGACAAATCCTACATTTACTTGTTTGATCAAAGGATTATGTCTCTAAACAGCACATACACACACATACTTCCTAAAGAGATAGTATAAATACTGATTTTAATATTAAGGGCACTTAAAGTATGTTACAGCAGTAACTGCATCTTGTAGCACTCACTTAAATCACATGGATTATGAACACTATGTTGCAGCACAGTCCATAATTGAGTATCCATAATTATGGTTGTAAGATTCCACATCTATCTGCAGAAAACTTAAACTATGACAACATGAACACTATTTTATATTAAATTAGCTAGATTCATGAACTTGTACCTATGACATCGCTTTTCACTACATTAATTCACAATTATTTAAAAGCTATACTGACCATGCTAAAAAATATTATTTCCTACACTGTTACCAGACTACAGTCAGATCACATGGTCAGAGGACAGCAGTCTATTTCTCGACATACAACAATATCCTAGGAACTCTGAGGTATTTTGAGACAGCCACTTGGAAGACAATTGTTTCTGTGGCAAGTCAAGTAAAATAAGGAGAGCAAGGCTACGATCATGCCACTTCACAGCATTTGCACAGATTTTCATTTCTGATATCCCTTTGTATGAAAAAAAAAATTTCTAGAATAATTTCTATTTCTACAGACCATCATGCTATTCAGCTCAATAAACCATGATGTTTTCATTTCTCTACATCTCTTTCACCTCCTGCCTCCAGCTACATCAAAAGAAAAAAAAACAACATTCCAACAACCCAAAGAAATCCGAAATAAAGCTGTCATTAAAAGTTTGGAGGGGCTTGTGGGTGGAGGCAGGGAGGTACGGAAGAAGAGAAGAGATGTTGCTGTAAACAAAACAAGTCAAAACATTTCAAATCAACTCTAAAGCACATAGCACAATATAGCAATCAAATTATAAACTTAATTGTTTAGGTGTTACAATATAAAAAGTCCCATCATCTCAACTTGTAAGCATTAGGGATTACTCACAGCAGATTGTTCACATGAACATGATTTTTCAAAAATGTTGCATATACAATGAAGCATAAAGATTACAGAAACGCGTCTCTGGAATTCTTGGTTTGAGTTGTTTATCTTATAACTTAGTGCATTATGCCTAAAAGAGCCAAACAACACTAAGCCAAAGTCTATTTTTAATCAGTTCCACTGTCACAAGAAGTTGAAACTATAAAGATTTTACTTCTGTTCATCATTAACCTATATGCTGGCCACCGCTCTTGAATGGCAAGCCAGGAAGTTCCGTAACTTGCTGACATAATTAAAGAGGTCAAAATAACTACTGAAAGAAGTATTACCTTCCCTTGAAGGCTAAGTTTGTAAAAATCAAAGCCTGACTTTTGGTTTTAAATTTACTCCCACTATTCACATTAGTGACAAGTCTATTCAAACAGAAAACATTTCCAAAATCCTATTAGTCACACCAATCATGTAGAAATTTAATGTCTAAACTTTACTTAAATATAGACCTTGAAATTAAGACTTCATAAGCAACCCAAAGAATCATAAAGTGGTCTGCTTTAAAGAACATTTTCAAGACTACCTTGATAATAGTTCAAACTGAGAACATTGCTTCTAAATAACTGCCTTATAATAAACTACTCTGATCAGCTTCTTTCGGGAAAAACTTGTGTGACAGATAGCATGACTTTCATTTGTTTAGCTTACTGTTTGCATGTTGTAGTTTGTGTTTTGCTTGAAGAACATGACTACAGCACAAAGGAAAAGGTTTCCTTGTTCTGACTGCTGCCCACAGGATCAGGTAGAACTTCTGGAGGAAGGAGGAAGATAGTTTTTTTTCTCCCCAGGAGGAAGAAAAGATGCTCAGCTAGGGAAAGCTTCTAGATCACAAACTAGAGAAAACTAGGTGTAGCAGAAAGCTAGCTGGCAGCCCAGAGCATACCTGCAAAAAAGCCCCAGAAGCAACATACTTACTAGGGACCTTAAGATAACTATGTAAATTGCGCAAGCCCTGGATGCTACTTACAGGTGCTAAACAGACCAAGTGCTGGAAAGAGAAATCTGGTCTCCAAGGACATACTGATCAGAGCAAAAGACTTACTCGTTTAAATATCTAACAGCTCTGACTTCTGAAATGTACTTAAATACTTTTTTTATTACAAAATAATATAAATAAATGGAGTTGTCTTATTCTGGTTTGTTATTTTGCATTATAGTAAAAAAAGCTAGCTTTAAAAATACAAGTCCTGGCCTGCTCACTGTAAGGAAAAGGTGAGACAGTCTCATCTCCAAGCTCTGACTGAGGTGAGGTGGCAGACATTAGTCAGAATATGGCAAAGTGAAAGAAAGACACAGCAAGTCTTCCAAGTTTCCATGATTTAAAAATAATATATAGCTTTTCCAAAACAAGAAACTACAAGTTCTGAATAATGACAGAATAGATAAGCTTTCTTTTTTCTTGTAAACAGTAATTTTCAGTTCTTGCTTAAAAAAAACCCCACACAAACAAACAAGCTGTTGTTCTCCCTACAATTTTTAGTTAACTTCTCCTTTTGTTACAGGTAGGCAGTGTTAACTCTGAAACCAAAACAGACACAACAGGCTTCCGCTCAAAACTTTGAAATGTCACTGCTGGAGGAATGTCACATTTGAAGTATGTAACTTAATTAACTTGAAAAGCTTAAATATAACATATTATCATGACAATTTTAAAAGTTTCAGCTTGTACTTGTTGCAGATACACATCTCTAGAAAGAACTGAAAGCATTTTGTTTAATGATTGAAAAAAAAAAAATCACCTGAATTGTTATCTACTAGTTGGTGTGTGTGTGTGTGCTGGTGTTACTGAAAACAATCCTGTGATAAATCTTATCTTAAAAAGAAATTATGCTGATCAATTCTATCACCACCTTCACATTCAAATCAAGCAGTCACTGCCGGTCCATGCTCAATCTAAGGAACGCACATACAATTTATAACATCTGCTAGAATATATGGAGTTACTGCCTCACATGTCTCAGTGTCACCTAACTGCTGTCACTACTATAGTAATTTGGTTTCCAAACCAAAGAAAGCTGAAAGCCATTGATCACGATTATTCCCTCATTTGTGTGGGCCATCTGAAGCCAAAATAATTAATTTTGCCAACTCCTATATGATAGCGTTTGAAAGGACGGAATTTCTCCTGAATTTCAACAGACAGACTAAAGCACTAGCAGCTTTTTATTTTCCACTCCTTTTCCTTTATGTGACAGGTTATACTATCTTTACAAGCTTCATTAAGTAAAATCTACAGATTAAATGCACAACTAATCAAATCTGTGCATAAAGACTTCTAGATTTCTCAAGTCTTACTTCAATTGGTTCAAGTAATTTGCACGAAGATCCAATTCAAAAGCAAAATACTGATCATAGCATTATGCCATAAACTCCTAATCATACATGTTTATTGTGCCTTCTGTTATAATGTTAATACAATAGCTTTGTGTTATTTGGACTGATACTTCAGTAGAGGTATTTTAGTTTTTCCAGACTGTTTAGCATACTTAGTTTTTAACTATCACCAGTTTCTGACAGTGTCCTACAACATAAAGAACACCTGACCAGTTTTTCTTCAGTTCCAGTACTCCCAAAGCTTACTCCAGAAATAATTTTCTAAACTGTAAACACATTTTCAACACTGGCATGGACAAGGCCGTTAAAGCAGTCCAGGTACTCTTCTAAACACCCTTTTACAGGTTAGAAGAAAGCAAAACCAATCTCTTCAAAAGAAAAGGTACTTACTTTACCAATTCTGGCCTCTCTGTAGCATTACTAGCATGAATCAGAAAGCCAATCAAAACTGAAGTGTAAAGGAAAATGCAATTTGCCATTGATTCTGAGGATAGAGATATATATTCTAAGGCTAGTGTTATTTTTCCATATTTTAGCAGGTTTTTTTTAATACAACAACTTACTTGTTAAAAAAAGGTTCAATGAGTTTTGATCTAGCAGACACATGGTTTTTCGGAGGACTGAGGAACGAACCTGATGAAGAAGAAATTCAATATGTAAAAAGCAGCTACAGCAAGCATGAAGGAGAAGGTTTGATAAAGACTACATAGATACCTAGGAAATTAGCCATGGAGATGAAGCACAGCCCAGTAATGTATGCATCATATCCTGCTTCATGAAGTTGTTCGGAAGCTGTATCGTAACTGGGAAACCCTTCTGCACTTTCTGAAGAGAAAAAATAATTTGTAAACATATTATCACAGAAGTTAAAGTAGCCCTGTACGCTTACCCACAGACTTATTTTGTCAGAGCATAACAGCATTTGGGTAAGTTTATATGTTTTTTCAGAAGTTCTGAAAATTCAGAAGTTAGGAAAAAAACACAGTTTTGTTTTGTCTTTTTAAATAACAATAAGCTTCTAGGATAGAAACTCCTTCCTATTAAAAAGCTTTTAATCCACAGACCTACTTAGCCAAAATGGAGTATTATTTCTAAAACAATGACTGCAAGATTCCCCACACAGCATTTTTTTTCCCTGACTGTCTTGCATTTAAAAGAAGAGACACTCAGGCTAATTGAAAACTCTACTATTAACCTGCTTGCTAACAATCCGATTGACCTATGGTCAGATTTTTCATGGTATTTGAATGGTGGCAATGGAACTAAGTGATTAAAGCATGTCTTTACGGACAATTATGCTTGGTGTTTATGTGAAGACCACGAGAAGTATCCTTTGAATCACCTCTGGAAGTGGAAGTCTTAATAGGCACTTCTCTGAAGAGAAGTGTCCAAAAGTGCTGAAGTCTCAGTAACAGAGAAATATGTGGACATCACCCTTTTTTTCTTTAAAACTTAAATTTTTTCCACTCCCAATATCAAAGTTATTTCACCTCCGTAGCTAGTTTCTCAACTTCTAGAAAGCTGGCTCATTTTCCTCTAGAAGCTATACTGAGAATAGGACTCAAAGAACAAAATTAACTGTTTAAAAAGCCAGAATCATGAGCCTCACATTAGACTGAAAAGTGAACTCTGTAATTCCATTAAATTTATTGCATTCAAACTAGCAAAAGAAGCTGTGACACAGAAATACTAGCATAACATATACAATGGAAATATGTAAGCATATATACCTGTTGTATTTTGTAAAAAGAAATTTGAATCCAAATTTTACATATATGAAACTAGAGTAGCAAAACATCAGGCCTTTTTTCAGGTGAACTCTTGTAATATTTATTTAAAAAATAAAGTTGTCAGATTCAGACAACATTAAGCTATACTGGCTGAGCTGAAAAGGACATTTCTTAGTGCTTAATTATTTTTTTTTTTAATAGATACATATCCAAAAGAAAACATAAACAAACAGTTAATGGAAGTATTCTAGTATTTTTAAACATGCTTTGCTTTGGATGTTCAGAACCACATTAATCACCTCTGATTAAATACCAACACTTCCAAGTCAGTTAACCATTATGGTCATACTTTGCTTTAAAAAAAAAAAAAAAAAAGGAAAAATTATTATATTACATCAGCAAAGAATAGTACCTGACAGCTGCCAAATTATGTTACATCCTGAGAAGAAGCTACAGAGAATACACCAATAAGAGATCTGCATGCAACTACCGTACACTCCATATGCATGATACTAACTAGGTCTAGGCACCAACAGCTCCTGCTCATTGGTCAAGAAGATTGTAGATTATCCACCTTATTATCTCTCCTGTTACTACAGCATAAGTGCATCTGCTTTGCACATACAATAATATAAAAAAGTATCACTCATCTTGGTTTTGATTAAGCATTGGTACTTTTCCTTCCAATGTAGTCTACTGTTCAGTATTGCTCACCCTTTTCTAAATCAGCAGCTTAAGGAAAAATTCCAGAACCTTGAGATAAGCTTGCCCTTTGATTAACTATCCTTTTGTTCACCTCAAAGCAAAGCAAGCTCTAAAGGAACTTCAATAATTTCTAGAACACACATGACTAGTCACTACTGTGTAAGTTTTCTTGGTTTTGTTTGTTCAAGTCCTATTAGAGTGCTCTGGCTTTGATATGAAGGACAATAATAACCAAATGAAACTGTTTTAAAACAATTTCAAGTTACTCATCAAAAGTCAGCTTAAAAACCAAAATGCTATCATTGGAAGATGATGAAACAGCTGTTCACTGAATACATCCATTCTTCTATTATCTGAAATAAAGTGGAAGGATTCCTACTGACTTCCACTAATAGTTCTAAATACAACTGCACTATACGTATAGTGCCCATGTTTAAAGTCTCTTTCATCAAAATACTAAGTATTAATAGGAGAATTTACATTTCAGACCAAGAATAAAAATAATCAAAACACTTTCTTTCTTCTGAAAGAGGAAAACATTTCAGAAATAAGACCATTTTGATATATTCTTACCAACTTTAGGAGGACTGAACGGAACCTCTTTTAAACGCTTTTCCAGCTCTGCAAGGGATGTATTATTAATGATCTCCTGCAAGAAAAGGCACCATTAACTGCCAATGACAAGCACACTTTCCCTGGAAACTGAAATCAAATAGGATACAACGAGTATTTCCTGCTGCCACCTTGTGTTTTCTAAGGATTTATACATAGCCTCATTTCAAAGTAACACACCAGAGAAGCCTGTGAAGACAAATTTTAAAACGTTAACTTGCCTCACCTACAACATAATGAGTCACAAGCATTTATTAATACTTTTCAGAATTCTTGATGATTAATTGTACCAAAGTACTATTTCTATTTGAATCAGGTTCCACGCATGGTACACGTGGCAGTGGAAAAGGCAGTACAAACAGCAACGCAAAACATCCTAAATATTGATTGTAATGGTTGAAGACATTCAAGGTGAATATTTAAGTGTCCTTGCTGACTAGACATTCTTTAATAGTTTTGTAAGTGTAAATACTGCTGATTTAAAGAAGCCTGACAATTAGAAAGCTGCTCCTACAATTCAGCTTGGCTAAGTTGCATTACTGACTCTATACATGCATAGATAAAGTCACAAAAAGACATACAGATTATTAATTTCTTCAAACCAAACTTCTTGATGTTCTTAATTAAATATACTTGATTGATCAGTACAATAGAAAAAGCATGCAGAATCGATAGCAAGAGAAAATAAAAGATCTTGCACAATCTTTCTTAAAGTTGTCTGAAATTTTTGAGGACCAAATTTCCTTTGGTTCTACATCAAGACAGCTGTTTACAGTTAGCATCAAGTCTGCATCTACTGTAAAAATTACAAATATCAACATAACTGTACTGAATATAAAACATGCACAGGATTATTAGTTTTCAGAATACAAAACACCTCTATTCTTACTATAGTAGTATGCAAGACAAACCTGAAAATATCTACCAAGTACATTTTAATAAGATTTTCTGTTATGTAATGCTCTAAAGTCAGAGATGTAGGCAGAAAGATAGATGCTGCTTCATCAGCATGTTTTTTCATTAATTTTTATTTCAAAGGCACATAGGAAAGCAAGAGAGTACGATCACTAATCTCAGTACTTCTTTGGAAGGATAAAATTGTTGTGCATGAATTTTAAAGAAAAACCTGTAATCTTTTTTTCCTGATGACTACCCACTGAACAGCAAGCCACAGTAGAATCTAATGATGATATTCAAGTATCTTTTTCTAGACAAATCTTAAGTCAGCATTCACAATATTCTAAAGCTTTGAGCATGTAAGTAGTTTCCAGGTCCTATTTGTTCATGAGTAAAACTTTTTTCTTCCTCTCCTGAGGAGACATGCAGTCTTGTGCTAATTTACAAGACAAAAAAATCTGCTAATCACATTTTAAGTAGCAAAAACTGTACATATTTTGGAATTCAAAGCTGCTAAGTTATCTTAAAAGTGACTTGTACGAAAGTAAAAAATTGTATTCTAAAAATTTTATAAGTTTAAGATAAGGGGTTAAGAAAAATCATTCTTTTACAAAAAGGAACATCACAGAAAACATAGTTAGACATTTTTCTCTGAAAAAAGTATCATTTGTTTCAATACACACTTAATGCAAACTTGTATCTTCAAATCATTCTGTAATATTATATTAATTTACCTTAAAAGGTTGTGTACTTGCCATCAGTTTAGTATCCAATAGCCTAGAAACAAAGTAAGAACTAAATAAGTTGAAATGGAAGAATGTCCGTTTTGCCAAATCCTCAAAAATATTTTGGTGTATTAGCTGGGAAACAGCAGTTTCACCCTACTGAAAAATTACTCTTAGATCTTAGAGCAGCCCAAACACTCCTTGGCTTTGTTCAGCATAAAAAGTGTTCAGCAACTAAGCAGTAACAAAAGAGGCAAACAGTAAGTGGCAAATGCATCTTGTTCCAAATGCAGTGCAGATTCAAACCACCAAATATCGTGCTAAAAAGAAGAGGGTAGCAAAGTTGGATCTTTTGCCAAGAAGTAGAACGATAGCACTGCTCTTCTGAAAATGAGATGCTACAGAATGCTTTAAAAACTACCTAACTTGTTATCAATTTTATTTCCAGTAACAGCTAGGCTATAGGGCTAGGACAAACAATATCAGCTTATTAAAATGATACTAAAATAGCTCCAAGTTTGAACTAAGAACTTACCGGGGAAAGACACATGATGTTACTTCCTTGAACTCACTTAGGTCCTAATTTAACATTAAACCAGAAGATAAAATCCAAGTAAGTTAACTGTTTATCAGTCTCAGGATGATAAATAGCAGTAGCTACAATAATCCAATCAGCTTCTAAAACTGAGATACAGTGACTGAATTCTCACCTCTTAAGAGATGTATTTGTCAGCATTACCATAAATACTACCTGCAGTTACAGAGAACTACAGACTAATTATTTCTGATTTGTCTGTGATTTGAAATGTTCTATCACCTCTAACACCTTATCCTATCATATAACCTAGATTATCTCTAATTCCAGCTGTCTTAACAGTTCTACTTAAATGTTCCCAGCATTTAATGTCAATGGAATATAAGTCACTCCAGGTGGACAGTTGACTGCCTAGAGGTTTAGATCTTCCAAGTGTCAAAAGTACAGGAACAACTGACAACTGTTTATGTTCCACACTGTCCAAACAGGTCCTAAACATCTTTCTTCCATCTCATAACCAAGTCTTTCCCATAACACCCACAAGCCCCTGGGGATTGCGAGTAATATAACCATCATGCAGGCCATCCTTCCAACGAGACCTTTGGCTTCTTCAGACAATGTCCTTGGTGTCAATACATTGCTTAGCAGTTAATGACTGCAATAGTCTAATAATTAGACTGCCCTACTGCAGTCATGAAAGTATGCTCCCTCCAATTATTCATTCCACCTCTTCATCCCAATGAACATCATCCTGCTACAAGATTTCTTATCATTTTATTAATTGTAGTATATTATATGAAAACATGTATTTGCACTTTGTAAACTACAGGGAGGGAAACGCCACACATAAACGCTGAAGCTCCAAACCAGCACTTTAACCAGTCAGTCAGATAGATTTACCTGCTATTATCCAAGCATTTTCTGAAGGACTAACATATGTGAGCAGAAACCACAATTCAATTCCAATATTTAATTTGAATATTCTAAAAATATAAAGGAGAATTCAATCCAACTAAGCTTTCTACATGAAGATCTAAGAAAATAAGGCAGTAGCCCAGAAGCAACAAGTGTTCTTTTTAAAATACTCTGTTGTTCTTAATAGACTGTCATATGCTTCCATTCACGAGAAAGTTTGGAGATAAGACTAAAAACAAAGGCATTTATTTCATCATCTGAACACTCAGAGGATTACTTACATCAGGTAGGGGACAATAGAACTGGTGTATGGTATGCATAACATCCAGTAGCATATTGTGCCCAATAACAAGCTTGCCCTGTGAAAAGAACATTAAATGTTAGTTACGCTTCCAGTCACGGCCATGGCAAGGGCAGTACGTGAAAAGCACCTATCCCAGATGCTAGCCAAGGGCAGCTGGGAACAAATACAAATCAAACCTCCCCATTTGTTCTCTGCCTGCCCCACAGAATCTTCCATTCTCTCAGAGGAGCCACTCCTTTTTCCTCTACTCCTAACCACTTATTCACAGCCTTCAGCAGCAGCAGCTTGAGATGTTGAGAAGATGCACTAGAACAACTACTTACAACTTGGTTTCCAAATGTAATCTATTTAAAATTGAAGTCAAGTGATTTCTTAGTCCACTTTTAAATTACAACTTGTACAACAACTCACAATATATTCTTTATGGTTATAATATACGATAGTTATTAGGGGCATGATCTGGCCTCTCATAGTGCAGAACTTTTCATGCCAGATGATGTACAAGCAAGTTCCTTCTTGAAAAAGTACAAGAAATTTTTTAAATGTTAACTTTGATTCATTTGATAGGACAATCTTTCTGCTTCCCTGTGTCCTCCATTTGCTAGAGAAAACAATATGCATATATGTGGTTTTATTTCTACACAGCAGACTGTGACAACTACATGAAAATAACTGGGCTGAAGGGGACAGATGTAACACTATAGACCATTTTAACTATGTGAGTAGAATAAAACTAGATGACCTTCTCTGATTAAGCCTTTAACTGCCAGAAAAAAACCCCACATGACAAGTTTTTTGAGACAGAGAAAAAAAGCCTTCAAAGCTTAGTTACTTAAGAGAATCTTGTTAAGAGCCCTAAGAAATTGGTATTGTTGACTTTTACAGATAACAAAGTTGTTCATGTCATTAGTTTAAGGGCTTACTTAACCTACCATACTCAACCACTGTAAAACATGAAGCAACATCAATTTAAAAAAAAAAAAAGCCACTTTAACTTGTATTTCATGTTATCTTCCAAAACGTAACAGCAAGATCATAGAATGGTTTGGGTTGGAAGGGACCTTAAAGATCATCTGGTTCCAACCCCCCTGCTACGGGCAAGGACACCCTTCACTAGACCACACTGCCCAAAGCCTCATCCAACCTGGTATTAAACACTTTCAGGGATGGGGCCTCCACAACCTCTCTGGGCAACCTTTGTTCTTTCTTTGAATTTTTTTCTTTTCTTAAAACCAAAGGTACATTAAAAATCATATTAACTTACAGAATTAGCAATGGCATGAACAACTCTGGAAAATCCTACTGCATCATTCAATTCTTCCTATAAGCAAAGATTCTAATGTTAGTGAAACATAAATACAAATACTGTCAAAACTGGCAGACACACCAGTTTGGCTCAAACTGTTTCTCAGACATAATCAATAACAGACCATAGAGGAATTGTCAATATTTGGAAGATATACGAGGTCAAAGCAGGACACTGCTGGCAGAATTCCAGTTTTATACCTAGCTCTGGTTCACTGTAAAGTAGGAAAAGGCACAAGTTATTTTGGTGCATTGGCCTGGTTTGGCCAGAAGCCAAACGTGCACTCTGCCTTTTGCTGACTCCCCTTTCCCAGGATATAAGGAGGGCCAAAAAAAAAAATTAAAAAAAATCAAAGAAATTCAAAGGAAGGCAAAAAGACTCGTGGATCAATATAATGACAGTTTAGTAAGAAAAGTTAAAGCTGCATGCACAAGCAAAGCAAAAAGGGGAATTAATTCACCACTTCCACTTCCCATCAGCAGGCAGATGTCCAGCCACTTCCTGGGAAGCAGGGCCTCAGCATGCTTAAAGGTGGCTTGGGAAGATATCATAATCACGAACATCCCCCCCAACCTACTTGCTTTAAAGAAGGGTGGAAAAGAGAGAGAAAACCTTGACACTGTGCAAGACTGTTCAGCAGCAGCCAAAACACTTGTATGATATCAACACTGTTTTAGCCACAAATGCAAAGCACAGCAACATATGGGCTGCTACAGAGAAAGTTAACTTCATCTTAACCAGACCGATACAGCTGAGGTCAGTTTATTGTCAATACACTATCTTCGATAGTGTTCAGCAGCTATTAGATTGCAAACAGCTCAAGAAGATACTAAAATTAAGCTACATATTTTCAACCGTATTTTTTACATACATTGTTTTAAGATGCAACAGGTTGAATCTCGATTGTTATTTCTATTAAATCAGATTGTCATTTTATGCTAACATTGAGATTGGGGAAGAAACATTCTTCACTACTTGTATAAGAAGAAATATTATACAAGTACAATATTATATAATGACAGTTACACATGTTAAACTGACTCAGATTGGTTTGGGGGGATTTGACTACAGCATCTATTTTCATTTCACTTAGAGAATTTTTTTTAACAGATTTTTCTTTTTCAGGTCTACGGAAGTAATTTCTGCCTTGCATTATCTGTCTTTGTTCAACCAGAAGTGAAATTCAATAAAAATATTCACTGCTATTTTAGTTCAGCCCTGAATGCCACTAGTCAGAATGAGTAATACACTTATAAAGACTGCTTCAGAAAAATCTACTGCAGTAGTAAATTGTCCCTAACTCATCTTTTGAAAAAAGAGATGTTACATTAGTTGAGGTCTCTGTCAGGTATGTCTTTCCCTTGTACGCAAGTATTATTTGCTCCACCCAAATTGACTTCATCTTGAAACATGTAGGCACAAACCACAAGAGTGTTATCAAGAATTCCCACAATTCAAGTCTTATGACTTCTTGAAACTTGCATCACACTCAGTAAGCAAAAATAGCAAGTCCATAAACAATGATGGAAGTGCCTGAATATACCAGACATGACCTTCCAGTCACCTTGTCAGTTGTGGAGCAGTTTTTATCAAGAAAAGTCAGATGACATATTAGTTGTACATGACATTTTAACTCAGACAACTAAGAGCAAGTTTTGTAACAGCATACTACTCCAAGGACAGATTGTGAATCCAAATAATGTGAAAACTTGCTCAAGAATTTCTGCAAGGCTATTGCAATGACTATAGTTATACAGCACTAATAAATACAATCAACTGATGTTTCCTATTACTAGAGTATGCTTCTCTGATAGAAAAGATTCACATAAGGAGGAATTCACTGCTCCAGAATATTGGTTCAGTATTTTACAATTACTCATTCTTTACAATTTTGCAGAGTATCTTGCAACTCTTCTTGCTCTATTGCAAAGATTAAGTTATCTGGTAGAATTTGGAGGACCAATTTCAGACAACAGCCACAGAGAAACAAAAGAGAAATACTACCATACCCTGTCACACAGTTTTGCATAGCCGACTGAAATCATAAATTCTCCCCAGCCCTCTTTCACGTAAACTAATGAGATGGAACTTATTTACCTGTTCTTTTGCTTGTTTCTGCTGTTCTCTTCTTTTTCGTTCTTCTTCATTTACCTTACTAATAACAATAAATCTCTCCTTCTAAAATAAAAAAAATTATAGTTTGAGGAATGACATTGAGAAGTTCATATTTAACAAGTTTCTGTAAATTTACATTGTAAAGAAAATTAAGTCATACCTCAACAGCAGTTACTTGGCAATGTGACTTTCTATTATAAGCACCACTTTATCACCCACTCCAAAAAGCCTACTTTAGAAAGCTGTATTAGATTCATCCACCAAACCTAACTTGTACTAAACCCACCTTTTACTTCTGAGGAAAGGTTATCAGTATTTCCTTGTAAATAGTGGATTTCAGATATCTTTTGAAATAGAGATTTCTGCTGGGAAGTGAGGATACAGCATGTGGTGCTATTATTTTTCCTCTGAGATCAAGATCTGCTTTTCACCAATAGACATACTTTTCACCAATACTGAATGTCAGAACCACTACATCTTAAAATACCTTTTAGTATCCTTTAAAAAAAATATTAAGCAACACAAATACATGCTTATGCTTCATATGCTGGTCGGATTTAATGTTTAGAAACTAGTTCATTGTATTCCATTTAAAATGTTTCACGTTTTGCATAACAAAGCTCAAGTTAGATCTAAAAGTTAGGAGAGTTGGTAAAATTGAGAAATACAATTTCCTTTAAAGTGAACAAATGTTACAGGCAGTAACATGCCTAATTACCTTATCTGACTCCAGAGTTTCAACATGGATACCTTTTGGATACCTACATTAAAACAAATGAAAAGTAAACACAAGTAGGCATTAATTTGGCATTTGACAAATTGAAACCACAACAGCTATTTGGTAATTTCAAATTTCATTATTACTATAAGTCCTAAGTGCAATAGAACTATTAAAAGCTCCCTTTTACTTTATTATAATGGAAAATTTGAAGCAATAGGCTAGTTAAATTGGCCTCCTTACGTTACTTAACAGTAACTAGCACTAAAATATATTTTCTTATACAATTTCCCATCCTATTGCTGCGGAACCTACAGCTTCTTATTTTAGTAATTTTAAGTAAACGTCATCTAGATATTTCATCACAATCTAGAACCTCTGCTTTCAAGAAATCCAAAATCAAAACACTGGTGAGAAAGCTCTCATTTACTTGCAGCCACAAGACAGCTCTTTCGGTGATTGTATGCCTTTAATACGTCACTTATGCTAGGATTTATAAGCAACCCTGAACTTCCTGCCAACAGTAAGCTCTAATAGGAAATATTAATACAAATGCTGTTACCTCTGCTACAGAGTTACATCACTCCGTCACACTCACATTTATTTACCAAAGTACTACCATACACAGAGCATCCAACCAATAGCAAGGTCAGAGAATATTGTCTTTCACTGCTTAACAAGTACATATTACTCTGATCTGTCCATTATAGTAAACTAAGCACAATTATGTAACCACCACAGAACCAGCATTTTTCATGCATCCTCTGGCTATTACTAAAACTAGTACCAGAGGAAACATACTAGAGTACTTTTGTGTCCTCTCCACCCTGGCTTCTCACACAATTTTGAACCTAGACCTCACTTTTAAGCTGTTTCACGTAACAGACCTTGGATACATCAAAACACTACTGCATAACAGAACAATTCAATAGAGAAAATGACCTGTCAAAGAGTTCAGGACACAAGGACAATCAATAACCTCACTGTTTTCTGCTTTAATTATCTCCAGGCTAGCTTCACAACTTTGTTTTCTCCTGCCAATATATAAACACCGCGTACACAGCTGTAACATTCAACACAGCTGGATGTTAAAAAAATTACAATTCATGAACACACTCTTCCATCCACTGAAAATGCAAGAATAAGTGTCAGACAAACATAACACCATGTGCTACTGGAAGCTATTCTATCAATATATTAAAAAATTCACACAGAAAAATTCTTGAAAATACCTCTCTCTGAGATTAGTTCTCAAGCTCACTTCTTGAGATTCCATTTTATAGAGAGAAGCTTTATTATATCCACTTGCAGTGTAACAGAGTGCCAGATACTGTCACAACACTGAATTAATTGAATGTACAAAAAAAGATTTCCACTGTATTTTCCACATTTTACTAGTGCAGTCAGAACAATGAAAATATCATTTCTACAGCCTTATGTTTTCTCCTAAAGCCTTAAGGAAAGTATTGCGGCAAAGATGACGGATAAAGTAAGCCAAGAAAGGAGAAGAGAATTACTACCAAAATTAGGACTTTCAAGTAATCAGAAGTACTTATATTTGGTATCTAGCGGAAAACTAGAAACGTACCAGTACCTTCTATAGAACTAGTAGTTTTTCAAGTAAAGCCCACAATCTGTATAAGCACATGCACTTTCTGTTCACTAAAAACCTGTCAAGTTGCATTAGTTACTTAATCCCAGGCTGTGCTGTTTTATTCACAGATTTTAGATAGGAACAATAAAATAAATAAGCTTTAAAATATTCAAATGAATCATCACAAACCAGTTAAATGCAATTTATCTTCAGAACGTTATAGAAGTCTTCTCTTAAAGGAAAAAAAAAAGTCTTAATGAATCACCTCGGAGGTTAAGTAGACTAGATCTTACCGACATTTCTTAACAGAAATACTAAAAATATACAGTAAAGCAGTATTACCAGTAACTTACTTCCAGCTCAAGGTCTGATAAATTAATTTCCTCTGAAATCTAAAATCAAAATACAACCGTGTTATTAATACTCCTCTTACAAAAGTGTTTCAAAGCAATAATGTTCAGTTAAAGCCGGCTCCAGGTTCATTTGTAGAAAGATTTTTAAAGCTTAAGTCACTGCTACCAGAACTTATAGGCTTGGAAGGGTTTTGCTGAATTCTGATGTTCAGTTGCCAAGCTGTAAAGGCATTTGCACAATTTTGTGCAGTTATCCACACATCTTCTCATAAGCAAATATTCTGTAGTTATGATTACTGAATATAGAAACAGTGATGTTACCTTACCCCAACTTCACAGTGTTCTAGTATTTCTAAATTCTTTTTATTATTTACTTTTTATTTTTTAAATAACTGTACTCTCCAAACATCTGGATTCTAAAGCTAAATAGACTTTGTGAAGGAGATCCACTAAAAACAGTTTCAATACACAGTGGCAACTACGAATAACTGATAGCTCAATAGATTTAAGAAATTTGTTTATAAAATGCTTATCTAAGGCTTAGGGAGCACTTCAGCAACAGCTAAAGGAGACTTGCATATGCAAGACACTTCTTGGCTATACTTAAGTATGTTGTCGCTACATGCAGAAGTTATGGCTCATAAAGCAGAGTATGACATCCATATAACTACCACATTTTCTCAAACCTCAGAAATCAGTCAAATGTAGATTTTGCTACAGTTAACCCAAGTAAAGATATTCTTCTTCATTATCACTCCTCCAATTATATATGGTCAAAATAAATAATTTTTTAGAAGATATGTGATTTCAGAAACTGACCCTGTACATGGCTCCAATTCCAAACTTTCATTTTCTTCATTCTTTAATAAGTCTTCTATCTGTTCCCTGGAAGAAACAGATGATTTGCTTCTACATCTACTGTTTTCTTTTTATGATGTTTACAGCTTTCCCCAAAAGACAAGAAAACACTTCATAACAAAAAGAGAACTATTTTGCAACTAGTCAACTAATAAAAATAACTTTAACATACAAACATGTCACTATTGTTTATATATTAGTTTCAACAACATCAGAGGCTATTAAATAATTTTACTTACACTACTTTCTCAATGAATTTTTTCTGATCTTCAGGAACTGTTACAGGACACTTTGTGGCACTAGGAGAAATGTATGACAGAGATCCTGCACCATTGGCCTGAGAACGTTTTTCATCATATTGTTCCCTTAGCTGTCTTTCTTCTTCCTGATTTAAATATGGAATTCCTAAAAAAAAAAAAACCAACAAAAAAAACACCAACACAAAAAACCCCAAACAACAACAAAACCCAAAACACATAACAGCCCACCAAAACCAAAAATTTAAAAGCTCATCATAATTAGGGATGTATGATTTAGTAAAGACTTATTACTAAGCATTTGCCAGTGTTACACTCCTGAAGGCTCAAAACATATCTTTCCCTTTCAGTCATCTGTTCCAGACCCCAATCTTTTTCTGTCTATATGGGCTTCCTTCTAGCACATGCCAGATTTAGCTGGTATCACTGAACTCTTAAGACCTATATGCCTCATCTGCACAAGGCATAAGCCTGACAACTGGAGCTGTAGTTCACAATCACAAAAATATTCAGCACTTCTCTTCCCTGCTATCTGCATCATTTTAATAATAGACTGCAGCAGCACCTATTACAATGCACTGATACCTTTTCTAAAATGTTACTACTGACCCATTACACAGCTACATAACTTGTTACTCTATGTTTAGCCATCAAACAAAAATAAACCACCAAGCACTTATCTAAATAGAAATTCTATACAATGTGAGTCTGTACAATGAATTCCAAGTAACAAGTGATAGGACAAGAGGAAATGGCCTCAATTTGTGCCAGGGGAGGTTTAGATTGGATATTAGGAAAAATGTCTTCACCAGAAGTGTTGTCAAGCACTGGAACAGGCTGCCCAGGGACATGGTTTAGTGGTGGACTTGGCAGTGCTAGGTTAACGGTTGGACTTGATGACCTTAAAGGTCTTTTCCAACCAAAACGATTCTATGATTCTATAATGTTTGGAAAGGAAGTAACTATCAGCACAAGTGTAGATCGGATAAGAATAATTCTAAGAACTTCATTACATGTTAAGAGAGTATCATGAATGGCTGTCTTTTTGCAGAAAATGAAGAAATGTCATCATAAATTTTGCAGACATTGAAAGAAAGAAAAAAAAACCAAAACAACTCACCATTGCGAAAAACTTTATTAAAATCAAATCCCTGGTTTGCTAAAAAATCTATACTTGAACTCTGCAACAAAAGAAAATAGCTTTACAATTGGCAAGAGTATCTGTGACATAAAAAAGATAAATGCAGTTATTTTTACACTGTTTAAGAAATTATATGAAGTCCAAAGTCAAAAGCGACCAAGGCTGTGACCCTAAAGAAGCAGTGAATGAATTCCTTGTCTTGGTTTGCTTGTGTGTGCAGCTTTTGCTAAATATGTATCCCAATGTTTGAGAGTCCCACCACTCATTGCTCTCAGCGTAGTCTTTAGCAGTCCGTTGTATCATTCGATTTTCCCAGAGGTTGGTGCATGATAGGGGATGTGATACATCCACTCAATGCCATGCTCTTTGGCCCAGGTTTGGAACATTATCTCCAATTCCAGAAACCACACAATGTAATGTGTAACAAGATTTAAAAATTGAAGTCAAAGATATTCCCTTAAAGCTCATTTTTAGGCATTGCTCTAAGTGATGCTTATTTCTTCAAAAACAAACAAAAAAACAAGAAAAGAAAAGAAAAAAACCACCCAAAACCTTATGTTTTTCTGCCTTTTAAGCTGTTAAAAGAATCAAACACTTCTCCCTCTACAATTACACAAAGTTTTCCTGGAAATATTGTTTAGACATTTGCTGCAGGTATACCTTAACCAAACAAAATAAAACTTGTTTTTCTACTAACCTGACAGACAAACTTGACATCTGGCGAACTTCTGTTAAAGGGTTTTGGAAAAATATAGAAATTAAATGACTTCATTACATACCTGTGAAAAAGATGAGTTGCACATTAATACAACTTATCAATACTTCATAAATTGCTCAATTAAGAAAACAGGGAGTAAGAGAGTAACATACTTTTCTTCTGTGTGATCATATTTAAAAGTGCAAAGGCCAAACTGAAAGAGCAAAAAATCCATGGAATGCTGGAAAGGAAAAGAAAACTTTGCATGAGAATAAAAGTCATACACATTTAAAGATAAGTGGGATGCATCCACAGTAAGTATTTCTCTCCATTTCAAAATTAAGCAAATCTGAATCTCCTTAACCAACGTTTGTTCTGTTGAAAATTTTGAAGTAAATACACCAGAGTTTTACAAATAGTTTTCAACCCCATTTAATCATCTTACTATTGCCCAAAGATGATTTATGGTATGCACTTCCATTCTGTAAACATACAAGAAGTGAGGAAGTCCCATCTCTGTCCACCTGTTGCTCAAACACAAGAGCAGCTGTCAGTCTCCTTCTCAGCCTTCATGTACATTCCCCATAGTGCAGGGGCAGGCTGTGAGGGACACTGGCTGTATATGGTTTTCAAATACACGTAATGATACATTTCATGTTCCTCTAATCCACGTGGCTAACAGTGGATAATGTGACAGGCATACTAGCATAGTCACTAGACACTTCATCATCATATCCTCTAGTAATTCACAATTGTTGGAACAATATTGGAAAGGTTTTTAACACCACTGCAAGTGTACAAGAAAATAAACAAGCATGGTGGTCTCATTGAAAGACTCATTCCTCCTGAGGGCCAAACACCCATTTTAAACACAAAGAACACATTGGATTATTCAATGCTATCATAAGAAAAAAAAAAATGGGTAGCAACAGGACATGCACAATTAGTCCTCTGTAAGCACAAAGATCAAAAATATCAATAATCAAGTTATATTAGCTGGTAAAATGTAAGTTTTAAGAAACTGGTAAGAAAAAATTTGGGGCTGGATTCTGACCCCTTACAAAGGGCAACAAGGACTGACTGTGCCTGCAGAGCCTGAATTGTCAGCTACCCTGAAGCTCTCGAAGGCTCATATTCAGCCAGATGAACAGAATACAGCATCCTCTAGCTTCTTGGATGCTGTTCAGACGCTGATCGCTACTTTTATCATCTCCTTTAGTGTTTGGGGGTTGGGGTTTTTTCCCTTTTTTTTTTTTTTTTTAAAAAAAACACAACCTCCTCCCCAGTTTTTGCCATTTGTTGTCCTAGTTTCTCGGTAGGAGCACTAACCAGTAATTAATTCCCTCATCCCGCAATGTCTCTTAACAGTGTTTATAGACTCCTTGGACACTTCAGGAAACAGCATGTGCTGAGATGCTTAGCACTTCTCTTTTCTGATTCCTTTCTCTCATGGAAAAAAAAAAAACCCAAATAACAAAACTAAACACCAAACCCACAACCCAAAACACAGTTCAAGCCTCACACACCATATATTGTCTCCTGTGGTCATTTAGCTATTTTTCAAAAATCTTTCCATACCCTCCAGCACTTTTTGTGCGTGCGCGCTGCAGAGAAGCAGAGGTGATGGTGGCAGCTGGCATTTCAGTTTTGTTAGGGACAGTACATGCTGCTGGTGGGGGGAGGTAGCTTGGGAAGGACCCTAGTCCTAATGTAGTTTCTCTGTCATTCAAATTTCTCTTACCCAGACCTCCTTTTAACTGATACATTTTAACTCTCTCAACATCCTTAACAAGTTCTACAGTCTACTAACACTTACGTGAGGAATCATGCCTGTCTGTCTGTCCTGATCATGACTTCTGCAAGTTTAATGCAATCCCTATCTGCTTTATGTAACTCAATTTTACAGACCTCTGTCATATTTCCTACATTGTCTCCATTCTGAACTAAGGCGTTCTTTTTCCAGCATTTTCATTTTAGTCAAGGTAAACACTTTACCTTTTTAAGTTTCTGATACCTTTCTTCTGGAGTGTCAAAGCCATTGGTTAATGCACTGACAGAAGGCCCATCGCTGATCCCTGAAAAAGGAGAACATATTTTGCTTTGGGTAAGCTTTTCAATATTAGCCACAGCAAAGAAATGCAACAACTGGCAATTTAAGAAAAATGTTTTCACTTAAAGTACACATTAAGATTACTTCAGTTGAGAAAGATTTCCTACTGCATAAAAGTATGCATGTTAGTGTAAAAGCCACCCAGTTTAATGATGGTGTAGTAATGGTAGCAGTAAAGCTCTGCTGCTCTGGTTCCTATTCCACAGGAAAGTCACATGAAAAGATCTACCAGTAACATAATGTTGACAGGTCTTTACAACACAATGCAGCATCAAAGTCAAACTAAAAATGGGAAGAGTGCTGTCCATAGATTTATTGAATGACTTAATCACCTTAAGCAATACATAACAACCGTATTTCCATAAGCACCACATCTAACAAAACCTAAGCTTGATCACGTTTATGTTTCATGTTTGACTGAACTCCGTATCCCAAAGCTAAAGCACTTATTAAGGCATCTCTCCAATGCGCAGACACTCTGAGCTTTACAAATGTACAAGTTCTTACTGCTGTCTTTCCCTGTCCAAACACTTGCACGGCCTCCCTTATTTATCCCAGTATCTTGCTTTCATGACACATATAAAAGCTTTTTTTTTTCCCCCCGAGCTGCAGCTAAAAATCAATTAACATCTTAAAAGATTACTGGGGGGAGGGAAGCACCATGAGCATATCTTGCACCTTTATCTGACCAAAACCTTGCTATTGCACATATAAGAGGTTTAATCATTTTATGGTAGCCTTAGCTTTTTCAAGCCAACATTGAGAAATGTTACATGAGCAAACTTGGGCACCTGGGACCACGCACAGATATTGCCAACAGTTCACAATCATGAAACAGGCAGGACTGTACCTGAAAACTCCCCATCAATGGCCAGGAAGTCTGACTCTTCAATGGCTTCATATACTTTGTTTAGGTTATCCTTAAAATCTGCGGGTAAACGAGTACAACACACCTGAGACTACTAACAACTTCCTACTGCAGCCCACCGCCCCTCAGGTGGACAGAGGCGGCCTGCAACCTGCCAACGAGCGCGGGGCCAGGGC